GCTCCAAAACCTTTTTGAACTTTGAGGCATTTGGCTTCAAGCAACTTGGAGTGGAGATGTGAACCATCTCCATAGAGAATATATTTTTTTTTCCCTGAGCATGTTTTAACTTTGAGCTACAAAATGCTCAGGTGTGAATGGTGCTTTAGAGCTGGTACCTACTTTTTTGTTTTTGTGCCAGTCGATTAACTTGGTTGCCCTAATTTTACCTTACATCATATTCAGTTTGTTTAGAAGCAAGATTTAGGAGCAAGATTCCTCTATGCAGCCATAATCTGCCCTCGGTCTTTCTTCCATGTTTCTGTTAATGCCAAAAAAAAAAAATTTTTAACTTCTAAAACCTGACAACCTTTGAAGCTAGGACTAGGGAAATGCAAAATTTGGTTTGCCACCAGAACATATATACTGTAGAGGGGAAATCTTCTACTGAGGACTCCTGTTCTCATGACTACTAGGAGTGTCTTTTTCCTCATATTGGAGAGATTTTTACAAGACCATGCAATATCTCTACTAGCTTAGATGGCAAAAGAAAAAAAAAAACTGACAGGAGCTTTAGCCATCCTCTATTCCATTCAAAATTGTAAAAAAAGTTTTTTTTTCCTGATCACTTTCTGAAAATGCGTATTCACTGGCTAATACACTGATTACCTTCCTTGCTTTAAAACTTTCTGAATCACTGAGCTAAAGCAAGTATGAAGATTAGGAAAGTTGAGGCCATGTGCTTATCATTGAGTGTCAAATGAAAGGAAGAGGGTCAACATTAGAGCTAGGAAACTAGTATAGCTGGAAAGAGGTCAGAAATGTCAGCTCTGTGTTTTTCACAAGGCAGGATTGCTTTAAAAATAAAAGTTGTGAAAGGAGATAAAACATCAGTGTTCAGCATGGAATTTACTAAATTACATGGTCTTTAAATGCAATATAGCATTTCATATTGTTCTGTAAATGTGTATAGATTTGTGAAACGTTTTCGGCACCACCATTGAACTACTCAAGTGTGAGTTATTATATAGGGGCAAATATAATATAAAGTTTTGTCTGTGAGCTTGGAGAAAAAAGTTGAATTGTGCTAATGAATGCCTGAACTCTCCTAGAGTCATAGGGGCAAATGATGAAACATCCTATTTTCCTTGGCATTTACACAGCTTTAGTCTTTTCATAAAATCACCTTAATACTTTGCAGATTTTGTAATCCCTCCAATATTTTTTCAGCAATATAAAGTATTAACAAGCAGCATGAGAAACGTATTATACCACTTAAAGTTTTATACTTTTACATAGTACATTAACATTCCAATAAAGCATTCAACTCTGTTTTGTTCTTTCCCTTGCTACACATCAAACACTTTTTTTTAAGAAAAACTGTATGAGCAAAATATGAAGAATGCTATTATTGTTCTTTCTCTGAAAATGCCAGTTCCCTAGCTTTCTGACCTACAACAAACATGCAGAATGAGAAATTAAGAACATCTGCTCTACATACGGGTGATAAACAAATTAAAGCCCGTGTCAACAGACTTTGGGCTTTTGTTGACGGGCAATGCAGCGTGCATCAAGGTGCATTCCACTTGAATTTGAGATCAGTTTTAGTAACTTCTGAAACTCAGAGTTCATTGAGAAGAGTTCTTGACCTGCAGTTGACTTCCTTCGAACCTACATTTGACCTCCTTCTAAGCTGCATCGACTTACTTTGCGATGCTTTTGACTTCCCATTGTCCTAGTGACACAGACCCTATCAAAGCCATTTCATCCACATAATTTTTAGGTAGTTAACATTTTTGTATGCAATAAAAGTAATGTCTGCCTACTTACAATTCTTAGTACAGCTTTCTTTTAAAGTGCTTTATAGCCTGAATGACAAATTTTCAGTTTGTGGTGATGGGAAAATACGGTGTGTTTCCAGGTGCATAGAACTTACATTTGAGCTTCTAGAAAACAGAGCAGATGCACACAAAAACCTGTTGAATTAGGCTGCTATATAGATAGACAGGCTACTTCTTGATCCAGCAGGTGTGGATCACCAGCCTGCTAAGTGGATAGAGGTGATGATGCCTATGTATCATAAACCGAGATGATTAGAGGTGGAGAGGTACCATTGGAATCTGAACAAAGTGTGGTTGATTTACTAAAGGCAAAAAGACTACACAGTATCACTCTGCAAGGGCATTTGCTCCAAAGGTTAGTAAATGAGGTGAAGCTTTACTTTTCAAAGAATACCCAATCAAGGAAAATGTGCACATGATTGGATGATGGAAGTCAGCAGAGCTTCCCCTCCTTTACTACTCTTTAGAGCAGGGGTGTCAAACTGGCGATCCTCCAGCTATTGCAAAACTACCCATCAGGCCTCTGCCTTTGGGAGTCATGCTTGTAACTGTCAATCTTGCAATGCCTCATGGGACTTGTAGTTTGACAACAGCTGGAGGGCCGACAGTTTGACACCAGTGCTCTAGAGCAATTGCCCTTGCAGAGTGCAACTGCACTTGCAAAGTGTACAGTCTATTTGCCTTTTAAAAAATTTCACCCCACTATGTCACTTGGCTGTGCAGTGTTGCAGATCTGAGCAAATCACAATGTGGCTGTATAGAACTATAACAAGGTAAAGAGTTAATTAAAAATTAAAAAATAAAGATAAAAATAAAAATAAAATAAAAAGAAATGAAAAAATGTCTATTTCTTGCAGTGTTGATTGTTGTGAAGAACCTCAAAGAAAAAGAAACTCACAATAGTGCATTACCATAATACCACAAAAAAAAAAAAAAAAAAAAAAAAAAAAAAAAAAAATATATAATAAAATTTATGAATATATATATATATATATATATATATATATATATATATAAAACACATGCACACACAAAAATGTGTATCAAACAATTGTGCAACCTTTAAGTGAAAAATTATATATTTAACACTTGTGAGAACCTTCCAAAAGAGAAAGGTAATAAAACACTTGTGCTCATAAATAATAAAATCATGAAGTGATCTACTAAGTGAGATTCCTCCCCACACGTGACACTTCTAGTGAGTAAGGCCAATATACCCTTACCAACAGTAGATGAAACTCACGCCTTTTGTATATATATATAACTGGAAATCCTCCAAAGAAGCTTTATCCTCCTCTCCTCCTTCGCTTCCTGTTAGGATGATCTTACCATGCCTTCCACATCCATAGGTTTATAAAATATAACGTACCTCCATGTATGTTTCAAGTTTTAATGAATCCACTTGTATAAGGAGTTGAAAACATAGGCATATAAATAGTATAATCAATTTTGGACAAGCCCCACTGAGTGGGGATTACCAGGCAGTTCCCACAGTTCCCATGCAGTCCACTCTCAAGTGTCCAGTGATTCCTCAACAAAGATGGCCGCTGCGACACTTCCGGTTCCTGCTCCTTGCGTATGACGTCACTTCCTCTTGACGCGTTTCGTCACATCCGGGACTTAGTCATATTTTCTACTGAGCCCTCTAGCTCTGATGCTACATGGGCTCCCTACCTGAAAGGTATATGTTCTCCATTCAAATCACATCCCCTCACCCAGGCAGCCCATTCCTAGAAATCTAATGTTACTGACTAATGATTTTCATCGTTTTAAATGTATCATTAAATTGAAGGACTTGGCACTTGTTTCCTTCTGTACTAGAATTTAGGAATTCACATACCACTCTCTGTTCAGGTTCAGAAATACATGATTTTAACAATTCAACATGAGATTAACAGTGTGCTGTACAAAATACCAAACAGACCTATGGTAACAAATAGCAACAAGACTGATATGTATGTCAATGTTTTATCTAACGCCATTTTCTATTTAACCTCTGATACAGATAAGTGCTACCTTGCCAGCAATAAATGGTTATGCCTCCTACAAGTTTATATATTACGGTCTTTTTAAATGAGCAAAGCTATAAAAGTTTAACTGCTCTTGTACTTACATCATTCAAATAACAAGATGATGGAGTTAGATTTTGCCAGCATTTCAAATTAAATACAGATTAGTCAGATGAAATCTAAATCTGGATTTATGGCACCCACTTCGTTCTATGTGTAGAAAAATCACCCACAGCTCACATGTTTTGTAAGCCTTTGGCTGAGTCAAGAACAAAAAAAAGAAACTGTTGCTCTCAAAAGAGGATTTTTATTCTATTAATGTATTATTTTATCCAATTAAAATATATTTTTTTATTTCTATATACTGTAGACTCATGAACGTGATCAATGATTAAAAAAAAGCAAGTGTTTGTGTTTAAAAAGCTATATATCAAGCCTTGTCTTCCTGATCAAAAGAATTATCACAGATCTCAGATTCAGAATTCCTGCCCAGGGCAAGAGGGTGCTATGAGAAATTTTATTTAAAATATCTATTATATTCAAATGTTTAAATGTACAAAAATTAAAAAAAAAAAAAAAAGAAAGAAAGAATGGGATCAGTCATATAACTGAACCAACGTAAATACAAAGGTAAAATGGAGATAGATAGGGAAAAGGAAAGTATTAGCATTTTCTTCAGAGGAAAGGGGCAAGTGGGGATTAAGGGCTGTATCCAGCATGGGAATGACTATCGATATCTGTAACATATTCACAGAAAAAAAAAAAAAAATCATAACGCTTCTTACAGTATATGGGATGAGACTCTTTAACTGCTTTCCCACCGCCCTATAGCAGAAATACTGCTACAGGGTGACAGGGGTGCGCAAAATCACGTGTATGTATATACACATATACACACACTTGATTTTGCATTTGCAGGTAGGGGACGTTATAATATCAATGTGCAGCGCTAATAAAAATGTATGTTAATGAAGAAATAGAGAATAGTGAATACTTAAATGAAGAAACAAAATGGACAGTATAACAAATAACAAATGAAAATATATAAGTCCTCTAAATATCATAATAGTCCCAAAAATAGTGATGTGATCAAATCAACAAAATGTAGTGACTTCTGTGACTTCCGCACTGCAGAGTTGGAGTGCATTGTTGGCAGCCTCCCCTGACGATCACCATGTCGCGGCCGGTGACTCCCTTCTGGCATCCGCTGATCGCCATGGGGGAGAGACCAGTAGTAAACAATACAGTTCTCTCTCCTGTTAGCTCCTGCACACTGCTTTACTCTATATAGCAAAGCCATACAAAGCAGTGTGCTTACAGTGTAAAGCATACACACAGCACACAGTTAACCCTTTGATCACCCTAGATGTTAACCCCTTCCTTCTCAGTGTCATTAGTACAGAGTCAGTGCTTTTTATTAGCACTGATCACTGTATTGGTGTCACTGGGGATGTCAGTGACAGTTAGTCAGTTCCCCCCCAGTGTCAGAATGCCCACCTCAGTCCTGCTATAAGTCGCTGATCGCCGCCATTAACAGTATTAGAAAAAATTCCAGTATCTATACCGCCATTTGTAGATGTTATAACTTTCATGTAAACCAATAAATTTACACACATTGGGATTTTATTATTGAAGACATATAGCAGAATACATTTTGGCCTAAATTTATGATATCATTTTATTTTTAATTTTTTTTTACTGGGCATGTTTAATAGCAAAAATTCAAAAATATAATTTTTTCCTCAAAATTGGTGGACTTTTTTTTGTAGTACAAAAAATAAAAACCACAGAGGCGATCAATTAACACCAAAAGAAAGCTATATTTGTGGGAAAAAAGGATATTGATTTCATTTGGGTGCAGGATTGCATGACCGCACAATTGTCAGTTAAAGTAACGCAGCGCTGTATTGCAAAAAATGGCCTGATCAGGAAAGGGGGTAAAGCCTCTGGAGGGCAAGTGGTTAAATGCAAAGTGAAGTTATCCTTTAATAGTATATGCAGCATGGCACAGTTCTTGTGCTTTTCTAGATCACTGTCTTAGTGCAAGTCTATCCAATCTGCTCAGACTAAGAGAAATTATACACTACATATGGTTTACTTTGTATTTGCAAGTATCAACTTAAAGCTAAATTAAAGACTGTAACTTTGTTCATGCAGTAAAAAGTGACAGTCTGTTGAAAGTCACCCCCCCACACAGAAATATGCTCACCTTTGCCCATGCACCCTTGCTATATTGCTCTGTCACAGTGTCTAATAAATCCTTAGTACTTATAGGTATTGGAGAACATGTGACCTCCTCCCGGGATGCCTTTCTGAGGCATGAGTTGTGATTCAACAGACCTGAACACTGTTGCATGGCAGTTTGATCTCTACTATGCAGTTAATTGCAATTGAGATTCAAGTACTTACTTCCATGTAAAGGTCTTGTCACATGGTCCTGTCTTCTCAGTTAATCAGGAAATCCATGAACAGATCTCCTTCTGAATCGGAGCTGAATGGAATGGATGTAATTTTTCTGTCTGCATTTTGACAGCTGACATTGGCCAACCTTTATGGAAGGCCGTATGTAAATGGACTTGCATCTGTTTTTATCAAGCTACCTCTAATGCATATTATTTAGCTCAGGAAAATGGAAAAAAGATGCAGTCCTACTGATTTTTTTCAGATCTGGTTGGATTCACAGGTAGGCATATGGAAACAGGATGCAGCTCCATTTACATCAGCCTTCCAATAAAGCTTCCAATCAGGTCTACCTGAAAACCGGACAGACGAATCTTATCAGAAAGTCCATGTGAAGAAATCCTTAAAAATAAATTGAATGATTTATTAATAGAGAGTTGCATTAATTTGTGTCTTTTACATCCTTAAAGTTATCCTTCAAAGTGGTTCTAAAGGCAGAACATTTTTGCCTTAATGCATTCTCTGCATTAAGATAAAAAATGTTCCAGTGGAAGTATCACCCCTCACCCCCATAGTTAGAGTCCTATCTTGATCCAGCGTTGTGCTTATCTGCAACAGCACTAGTCCCACTCTCTCCTTACAATCAATCATACCCTGTGAGCAGAGAGCAGGGGGCAGGGCTGAACAAGGCTGTGTGTGTCTACAGACGCACACAGTTTGGCTCAGGAGCAAGCCCACAGGTGCACCCCCAGAGAAGAGGAGAAGCCTAGAGCAAGGGGGGGGGGAGGCTAGAGAAGGAGGTTTGGGGATGCTTTGTGCAATACCATTGCACAAAGCAGGTAAGTATAATATGTTTATTTTAAAAAAAACTTTACAAATACATTAATGGTACATGTAGCATTGTAGAGTTATTGTGCTTTGCTAGATCACTGTCTCAGTGTAAGTCTTTCCAGTCTACGTAGAAAGATAAATGATACAATCCACATAGCTTACTTTGTAACAGCATGTAGTAGCTTAAAGTGACTGTCATTTTTTCACCTACAGGAACACATTGAATTGTGGTTCTTATTCTCTATGTCAAATTGAATTTGCTATCATTCTGACCCCAAAGAGGTAACCTTGGAAATCCAGCAATTGATTTGGGGGTCCTCTTTGGCTTCCCAGATAACAGGTAGTGTACATGAACTCAGAAGCTAAAACATGAATAGGGTGAAAAGGCCTAAGTGTCACCCATTGGATGTGCTTTCTGCTAAGTTCATACTAAGGCAGAGACCTAGAACTAATATAAAGGAATATAGTGGTCCTGTCTATCATATTCAGCCAGTCTACAGCTGTCTAATAAAGTTAATAAAGCGTAGGATAGCATTTCATCCTCTACTGCTGCTGTGTTTGTTTTCTTTATTGTCACCTTGGTTGGGTTATCTTGATATAGAAGGTAGGCATTAAGAGAAAGCTTAAATCAAAAGTGTAGTCTCAATACTATATCTATGTAAATATAAGCATGCTTCATCCTGATGTCATTTGCCTAATCTGAGTCTTTTGAGATTGAGCTATTATGTACACCACTATAAAGAAATGGTCTGCTATCTATAATGCATGTATCAACTCTGGTTGATAAATACAACATGGAAAAGCTGAAATAGTATATTCTGACAGAACATACACTTCAGGGAATAAGCCATAATGGTTGAATAAAATGATAATGTGGGAGTATGTTATTAGATGTGCTGTCATGGTTCACAGGATCAAATATAGAAGGATTCAGAAACAGTTCAAAGAAAATTCACAACTTCTCAAAGATGGTAGAGATGGTAAATTCTAAATCCTAAATTATTTTGAAAAAAATGTTTTAAAGAAACAACAGCAGACTTTCTCTTGCATGTCACTCAAGCTACAAGAGCACATCCTTTAATTATAATATAGAAAACAGGTGCTGAAATATTTAGGCAATCCTGATGGCTGTTGAATATGTTAGTTGACTGGTTGTCATACTGATCCAGCATGTTCAATGCTTTTTGAGTTGCTAGCTCAAAACAAGTATGGGCATCATGTGGTCTGCCTAAACTAGGATTTCAGTTTGCTCGCTTTTTTCTTGTCAATGCTTTAAGCCAGATTACCAGCATTTTCAGAAAAAAAAATATTATATAGACCCAATTTAGAAGACTTTGTTCTGCTCTGGAGACCCTGCTTACATAAAAGACATTAAAAAGAAGATAAAGGCAACAAAAACGGTGCTAATGGATAAAACATACAGTACATTATGTACAGCCTCAAAAGAATAGAGAAAGCATTTGACTGAATCCTTTGTATTCAATAAGGATATGAACTGGGTTGAAGGTAGTAGTTTCAATATGAAGCTGAAATCAAGAACAGAGGGGCATTACCTCAAACTAGCAGGGGGAAGGTTCATGAGTAACATTAGAAAGGAATATTGTACTCAAAAAAGGAGTGTATGCTTATAGCAGACTTTGAGCAGAGATAGTGAACCAACAAACAGTAGAGATACTAAACATAGATTTATCCTGAAAATAAAAAAAAAAAAAAAAAAAAGGAAAAAAAGCTTCTTTTTCTGCTATCAGTATTCTATGTTTCATTGAACTTAGCAATGGCAGCCAACATATTCCTTTCAGTGGAGTTTGTTTTCAGCATTTTCTCATAGAAGAACAAAAAACCTATAGTAGTAAGTACATCCTGAAGAGATAGCTCATGACATATCAGATAGCAATTAGTGAATATGTGCGTGTGTGTGTGTGTGTGTGTAAAAGACATCTGCTGTTGCTGGGACCAAGTCTAGAAGAAAGGGATCTCAATGACCCCAGCTCTCAAAATGGTCCTTGCTCACAGTTGTCATTTATATGTGACATTAAGACACTATAGAACAGGATTCCAAACAGGGTCTCTGAATACACAACTAGAGTTCTCACTTTACCAGATACTTAATATACTGATTTTAAAACCATTGTTGGAATAATGGCACAGAAAACTAAGGGTTGTAAAAATCTTGGGAACATCTTACCTATATTATTTTCATCAAAAATCTGTCTGTTTCTGCCTCTTAAAATATATTGTGGCAGGGCAAAGTCATGCAATGTGTAATAAGGCAATCTAGGCCAGGTTTTGCAGAAAACAGGCACACTGGTGGCACAAGTGTGTGCTGTCTTTTTAGGAGAGACAGCATTAAAGTTCAGCGCTCCACCCTCCCGGGAGTCAGTGTGTGTTGCAAGGGAAGCATAGAGGTGCGTGTCTGTACCATGCTGTCCAAGGCAGGACAGACCAAGGCCTGAACCTGTGAGAGACAGAGCAGCAGGGAGTTGCAGGACGAGACAAGCTGACAAAGGTACAGTGTTTGTGCTGGGATGTGTGTTAGATGGTCTGGAGGACCAAAGCACGAGGCCTGAGCAGCAGAGCTGCAAAGAGAGCCAGGAGGCTACATACTATTTTGTTCAAGAGGATAAAACAGGAAGGTTATTCTAAGTGCAGTATATCCAGATACATTTTAATGATGACAGTTGGAAACATTAACAAACTTTAAGTAAAAACAGGCTCAGTAAATTCGTCAGGATGCGGGGGCTCTATCCACTATGTGAGAACCCACTGTGCTGGCCAGCAGCTGCAGGGGGAGCTGAGGATAGGATGTCCAAGATGGCCGCTGCACTCTGGCATGTGTTCCAGCAACCATGGAACTTGCAGTGGCCATCTTGGACATCCTATCCTCAGCTCCCCCTGCAGCTGCTGGCCGGCACAGCGGGTTCTCACGTGGTGGATAGAGCCCCCACATCCTGATGAATTTACTTAACCTCCCTGGCGGTATTCCCGAGTGTAGCTCAGGGTAAAATTTCAGTACCAAGAGCGGTAACCCCGAGCTACACTCGGGCTTACCATGCGGCGTTGCTCAGGGGGTCCCTGCAGCACTTACCTTGTCCTTCGCTCCCACGATGTGTCCCCTGCAGCAACCCTGGCCATCTCCTCCGGCCGATGCCGGCATCCAGCTGCTTTTCCGGTCCCTGTGACGTCGGGACATACAGGTGCAGGAAACGGCAGGAAATTTGAAATTTTTTAAAAATGTAATTTTTGCTGTCATTGCTGTTTCAATGCATGTCACATATATTTGGT